AAGAAAAAATTAAGGCAAAAATCCAACCAAGCTTGATTTTTGTGCTAAGCTAAACATATCAAGTGTGACAGGGGCTTATAAAGCAAACAAACCATGGCACAATACATTAGTGAGGGTTAAAGCTCAGTTGCCAAAGTGGACAAACATTGCTAAATCTAGTTCTGTAGACAAATGTGACCATAGATCAAAACAAAGGACAGACACATACCTCCTATATTTGTAAGTAGAATTGCTCCTGCCGCCAAAAACTGTAGAATAAAGGTTAATGCATTTTAACATTACAGGAGTGCAGATATTGGCTTCTCATAACAACCAGAATAAATAAAATGTAATAACTTGTGGTGGGAATCAGCGTTCCATACAAGTCTGAAGAGAAATGGTAACTACCTTTCCTGGTCTTCTTAACGCAGCATAGCCGACATCCTCATATGAATTCACTCCTGCAAGCAAGGATATAAAGGTAATTGATACATGTACAAGAGAAACACTGAAATAAAGACTGCTTTTGCTAGTCATTTGTGATATCCTTTAATTGCCCTGAAACATTAGGAAAATACCAACAACATTGACCTGACTACAACTCACCTGATATCTCACACATCCTGAGCAGGAGATGGATGGAATAGCTGGCAGTTACAGCAACCATCATCATCAGGATTCTGCACAGGCACAGTATGAAAAGTTTGTTATGCTGTATAGCACACCTGTAACGCACAGGATACTGTGAGAATGAATCCTGCCCCTGTAGTTAGTGGTGGGGACATCAAACAGCTTTGGAATATGGTCATCAACAGTGTGAGTTAGGAAGAACATCAGCAAGGATCACATTGACAAATAGCAATTTTACATAAAATAAGCAGCAAATGACTGAAAAAGGTCTCTAAACTAAAGGGCAGCAGCGGGCTACTGAAGAAAAGTTCTCAAACCACTTACAGTTAAACCCTGTACATGGACCAGAAACTATTTTCATTTCCTTTCTAAGACATGAATCTAAATTCATTCTGCATGAAATTTCATTCTGCATGAATCACGTGCACTTTGTTGATGACAGGGTCTAAAGACTCACGTGAATAGAACCACCCCACTCTCCGACATGGCGTACGCCAGTCCCAGAATCCCACTGCCTAAGATGGCGTTCATGAGGTTGAAGACCGACATGCCAAACGAGGCCTTCCCCTGCACCTCATGACTGTCACCCTGTCGCAGACCACCGATACTGGTCTGGATACTGCTTCCCTGTCAACAGATACAACATGTCATTAATAACAAAATATTACAGTACTGCAAACCAGATTTGATTCCAGTTGGGGTCCTATTGAACTAGGACTTACAGCAGGATATCTTCCCCATGGCAATCTGTGCCTAAACACTGGAAAACAGACACAAAAGTAATATCAAACAAATCACAATAATGTTACACGTAGTTCCAAGACCTTTTCTTTCGCTGCTGTCATGGTTACTGAGAAGAAGTTGGTCTGACTCCTCAGCAGATGCAGACATCGTCTCTGATGGATCTCTTGATAGTTAAAGGAATACTACTTCTTATGTCAAAACTATGTTAGGCATGTGATGATCAGGATTATCATGTAGTCCTGTAGCAGCGCCACCTGGCGGCTACATTGGATTTTCAACGCAAAAGCCACACGAGCACTTCATGGGACACAGACAAACCGTGTTGGATTTGTCTGCGCGACTTGTCGCTCAAAGGCTCAGAAATAGCTCAGAAACACGTGCCCTTCAAACCCTCATCCCTTGTAGTATTCAGAGCAACATTCCTGAGTTCTGGTACCAAACAAACCGGTCAGGTCACAGGATAGGACGGGCATCATGTGACACAGACACACATGCACATCAAGCGAATTTACAACGGAGCGATAAACAAGTAAACATTGCACTACATTAATGATTAACTAGATCCATGCCTTCCTCATGATTACTACATACCCTACGGAAGGCTCCTAGCAGGGGTTCGCGCTCCATGGACGCCGAAGCGCCGTAGAAATAGTCAGAATTGATGGAGGTCGCCGCATCTTCCACCGGCACTGTTGCCATCTTGCGGTGTGTGGCGAAAGTTTGCGACAAGCCGACGAATTACGGCATAATTCCCATCATGCCCTCCCCAAGATGTCTGCGCCCATGTGTTTTCCTGGCATATCAATGAGTTTCTGAAATAAGAATTCTCCACGTTTTTCTTACGTATAGATGCCACTTTCTGGACGTTTTTTCTACATTAGTCACAGAAACAGAACATTCCTTCGGGCGACGGTTTCGCGATTTTTCTTGATGATGTCTGAGAACCTGTTCACCCCTCCCCCTGGTGTGAGGGGCATGCAAGTTCTGGACAGACAGGCTTTCAATCGGACTGTACAAGTACCAGCGATCAAGGTACTTAAAGTTGCTTTGTGACATAGTGGTCTTTTGGATTATTTAACAATATGGTTTTCTTATCGTCCGAATTGTTGCAATGTACTTTGGTAGGATGAAATTTAGTTACTAGTACCATGCCCCTTTAATTAAATGTCACTCAAAGGACCTCCTTGGTCAAACTCAAAGTACATGTAGTACATGTATAATCAAGGAGGTTTAAACCTCCTTGGTATAATACTGGAAATACGAAAAAAATAATAATATGGAATGCCAAGGCAATTGCTAAAGTTGTTTCCATAATGTTTGTTTCCAGATACCAACTAAAGCCATTGGTGGACTGCTGAAGCCTCTAAGGAGTATCCTGCTGAAGCGGCCAAACACCAAGAAAATAGTGGACATTCCTGATGACCAGCAGCACAAGGTCCTGCTGTGTGACCCTGACAAGGTCGTACCTGAGGAAACCCTGACAGGAGAGCACGGGAAACTGCTACAGGAGAATGGGGTCAATACTCACTTTTCTCTTTAATCAATATTTCTATTAATAAAGCAGATCATCATTTTCCTTATTGTAGTGAGGAAGGACGAGTCTTGTATTTTTAGAAGGGACTCAGACCTTCATTCATAAGGAAGAATAGTCTGCTGTAGCAGATATTCCACAGCTGTATAAATATGAAACAATTGTATGACTTACAGCTTGGTTATCAAAGCTGGAGAGCGCAGAAGAGGCCACCAGTATCTACTGCCTTGCCTGTTTCTACTGTGCATAGCCATGATATCTGCTGCTCTGTGCTGATATATGTCAACAATGTTTTCCCCAGGTAACAGCTGTTCCACAGCTGTATGACCTACAGCTGGGTTATGAGAGCTGGACAGCACAGGAGGTGCTGACTGCTATCCTGCCAGAGGGAGAGGTTACTACAGCCTTCAGCAGGGTGGGACACATCGCCCACCTTAACCTGCGGGATCACCAGCTGCCATACAAGACCCTCATAGGTGACTAACACTGACAGTGACAGAAATTACAGATACACTGTATTCTTTAGCCTCATTGGATCATGTACTTGTCTTGGGTCATTTACAACTTTTACAATACGAGTTTGAATCTTTTGGTGTTTGATCTGTTATTTCTTGTACCTGACTCCATATCTGACACAAATGTGGGAGATTCCAATCTTCACAGTACAAAAACTATGCATTTATGAATGGATGAGGTCTGAATGTTCTCCTTCTTTTGTAACTGATAGCTTATGAATGGATACTAGAGGGATAACATGGTTATACTGACATCATTACCCACACTTAATTATGGGAACATCCTAACTGCCTTACAACTTCCAGATTATTGCAGTCTTCTGTTTGATTGTCTTAACTTAGTGCTAATAGTAATAGTAATAGTAATGTTATATATACATGTGCACCCAGGTCAGGTAATCATGGATAAGAACCAGGGCATCACATCTGTGGTGAACAAGACCAACATCATCAACAACACCTTCAGGTTCTTCTCCATGGAGCTGATCGCTGGTGAAGACAAAACTACAGTGACCGTTAAGGAGAACCACTGCTCCTTTGCATTTGACTTTGCCCAGGTGTACTGGAACCCTCGGCTAGGAACTGAACATGAGAGAATCACCAACAAGCTCATGGCTCGTGATGTCGTGTATGACGTGTTTGCAGGGGTGGGTCCGTTCTCCATCCCTGCTGCTAGGAAGAGATGTGAAGTGCTGGCAAATGACTTGAACCCCGAATCCTACAGATGGCTTGTTCACAACACAAAACTGAACAAGGTACAGGACAGGGTCAGAACTTTCAACATAGACGGGAGACAGTTTATTCAGGAGGTCGTGAAGAAGGACATGATTGACAGGTGTCGAGGAGAGGACGCTGACCTTCAGGATCACACGAGTCACGTCATCATGAACCTGCCGGCCATGGCGGTGGAGTTCCTGGACGTGTTCCGAGGACTGCTGGCGGGGGAGACGTTACAGGAGTACAGACCTCCCATGGTCCACTGCCACACCTTCTCCAAGGCTGATGACCCAGCGGCAGATGCCAGGCACAGAGTGGAGGAGGTGTTGGGAGCTGCCCTGCCAAAAGACCACTACATACACAGGTGGGACATCTGCCAGTCATACTTAACTATGCTGGTAATTACAAGTCAAATATTTTTATTTCATTAATTGTAATCATACTCATGGGATTTACTCTTGAATAGACTAAATTTTAATGTAGAAATGTATCACATAAAGAAATAAAGAAGAATAAAGAAAGAATAAAGAAAAAGTATCTATCGTCCAAGGTATGCATGCAACTTGTGATAGAAAATCCCAGGGACCGACACTTGGTTGAATAAAGCTGTTTTCCTCCCCCAGAGTAAGAGATGTGGCCCCAAATAAGGAGATGATGTGTGTGTCCTTCCAGATGCCACTGGACGTGCTACTCTCTCAGCAGGGGGAGACAGGTAAAATACTCTTTACAATTTTCACACATCCTTAGGTTTTCACATAATAATATTCATGATACAAGTGGGCAACTCAATTTTGCTTTTGTAGCTTTGTGTACTTATGAATATTGTAAATATTTTCACCCTAAAGTGAGCTGTACAGGATGCTATTGTGGAATGGTGCGATAACAACAATTTTATATGTTCACATGTGTACAGATCCTTCTGAGCCAGACAGAAAGAAGCTGAAGACAGAGACATGAAGCACAAGGACAGCAATACTAGTATCTTCAGTGCTAAGAATGTGCTGAATTGAATTGAAAAGATGATTCTCTCACAGACATAGTTTACTTATCAGCTTCAAATATTAATATCCATCATGGAGATGAATAGATTTTTACCTTCGCCAAGAAGGTTATGTTTTCAGGGGCGTTCGTGTATGTGTGTGTGTGTGTGTGTGTGTGTGTGTGTGTCAACACGATAACTTGAGAAGGCCTTGATGGATTGTCTTGATACTTGGTAGATGGGTAGGTCTTGATGAGACCTCAAAATGATTAGATTTTGGACCCCCTAGCGGCTTGTTATGGTACTGCAGCTGAACTTCTGGTTTTGATATCTCATGATCTAGACATGCTATGGTGATGAAATTTGGATGGTAGGTAGCTCTTGTGCTGGGGAAGAAGTGACGTGAGTTTAGGCCCCCTACCGGCTTGCTCTGGAACTGCAGGGATATATTCTTGAAAATATTCAAAAGGGGATAACTCAAGAACCAGTTGACGGATCGTCGTGATTTTTGGTATGTAGGTAGCTTACGTGACAATTATGCAAATATGGATGTAATTTGCATAATTTATGGGGAAATTCTATAAATCATCTGCATTCCATGATAGGACAATTGAAGCTTGTGACATTGGTAATTGACAACGAAAGAAACACAGGAAGATATTGATTATGTTAATAATGACTTAATTTGCATAATTAATTAGAAAATTTTATAATTATGTAATGATAACTGCCTGGAATTTCACACTTGTGGTATTTGAAAGTTAAATTGAGTTGAACATCATTAAACATAATTTATTTAAATCAGGACCTCATTTGCATAATTTATTAGGAAATGCTAGAATGCATTGTTTGTTAATATAAGACTGTCTTTTGGTTGAGATTATGATAAAATGATATAATTCATGAAAATTAGGTTCCTATTTCTTCAATCAGGGGGGAATAATCTAATCTATAATTTGTCAGTCATAAAGATTAACATCATTTGGCGAAGGTATGAGATCGGGGAACTCTAGTTTGGTATTATTTTACTAATGAATGTAGCTTTGGGATGATTTATAAGTGATAAGGCAATGTCATTTGTAGTTTTTGTTTGGAAAAGAGATACTGGTATGGATGCTTGAGATAGTATCATAACAATCTCCATTGCTAGAATATAGAAATCTCTATACCAACCTAAATATGTGTTAGGCATAGACCATATTAAATGTGAAGAAATGCTTCTGTATGTTCACATTGTGCAGGTTGGAAATAAATCAGACAAAAAGTCTTGATAGATTAAGATGGTGTCATTTGTTTTCTCAATCTCCATCATCCCATGGATTAGCCTACAGTACAGGCATGTATTCAAAGACAGAGAATGTAGAACATTCACGCATGCAAACACAAAATTGACTTCACACAAAATAAATCTGGTGGAGAATTGCATTAATATACCTATCCCTGGTGCTGAACACTATCCACTAACATGTGCACCCAAACACTCACATTGAAGGTGGCTGGCTGGATACTGTCTGTCAAATTGGATATTGCCTTGCTTTTTGGTTACGGTTTTGACAACAAAAGATCTGCTTTCAGATTTGTGCTGAACACTATCTGCAGACATGCACACACACAGACAGACAGGCAGTGGCACTCACACACAAATATACCTGTCCCTGATATTGGACACAATCTACACTCACATATAAACAAACCTGTTCCTGATGCTGAACACTTTTCACTGACACATGAGTCCACCTCCCTCACACACATTCAAACCTCCTTGCTCACACAGACACTGGCACACACAAACATGTCCTTGATTCTGAACACTATCCACACCTGTAAATAATTGTATCAGGTTGGTGAAATATTGAAAAGTTCTCTATTCATAAGCATCTGTTTAACCACAACCAAAGCATTTGTTAATCAAGTGGTTGTGAATAAAGACATGCTGTCCACTATCCTCACCCATCTAAACAGGCCTGTCCCTGGTGCTGAACAGCCATCTACTCTCCGGCCAACATGCCTATCCTACCCGAAGATTCATCCGAACACAATTAGTAACATATTACATACATCAAGAAACACGTTTCTACCTATTGTCCATCGAAATGCAAAAGAAATGTTCCTTGTTACTGGTTCTCCTTGTTCAGAAATCTGAATTCCATGGTCATTTGTTTGGATTAACCATGATCAAACAATTGTTGTGAATAGCATTGTGACGAAATTAAACAGTAACCATAAGTATTGCCAATGACGCACGGAAAAATATCGAAAACCATCGCATTATGACATATGGAAAAGTACCCATGAACCATTGCACTCGACAATTGACGTTCTAGAATGTCTCAGTGGAATCCCTTGTAGCTAGCAACCATCGCCAAAATACTGGATTCTCACAGTTCCCCTAACCACTTAGAAAATCTGTCAAAGATGGGACTTTCATTATCAACAAGGAAGCGCTACCAGAGGCTTGTAAAAGCAGTCCGTGTCAGTAATGATCTCGAGTTCTTTCATTTGCTCAAGACAAAGGACTTTATATCTCCTAAATCGGCGTTCCTTCTGGCGGAGCTCTTGCAGGAGACATACGGAGATCTGTACAGCAAACACGCCAAAGACTTCCGTCACCTCCTCCTGTCGTTCATCACTTACCAGGCGTCCCCGGACTCTGCGGCACTACTGATGTACCTGAGGGCGTTCTGCACGCCGGCGTCACTGACGGTGTTACAGACGAAGAGAGATCCTCTGTTCCCAGCCATACGGATGTGTTCTTACAGTGGCAAGTCTAGAGTAGACATGGTTTGTTCTCTGATTCTCCTGATTGAACATGGCGTCGGTGTGTCGGCACGAACGAGACACGGACAAACAGCCTTACACATAGCGGCCCTGTGCGACGTGACGGAGCTGGTGGACGTTCTTGTAGAGGCGGGTGTGCCGGTGGACGCCAGGGACGCCCAGGGGTGGACTCCGCTGCTCACAGCCGCCGCTGCCCGCCACGTCGTCTTTATGGAGTTTCTTCTGGCTAACGGAGCAGACATAAACGCCGTCACGCACCTGGGACAGACGCCCATCCATTTAGCAACAAAGACCAAGTTCTGTTTCGCCGAGCGCGAACGGGATCCTTGTGCCTACCGGAAGAGCAGCCCCGAGCGATCCGTCAGCGTGCAAGTCGGGTTTCTGACCGACTCTGGAGTGGACATCAACCACGCTGACCGGCGTGGCAGAACGGCCCTACATTACGCCGCCCATGAGGGGGAGTATTACCTAGTCAGCGCTCTCCTGTCGTACGGCGCTGACCCCGACATGCGGACCCGTGACGCTGTCAGGGCGACGCCGTTGTACACTTTCCTAGACAACAGAGAGAACATGTTCAGTTGCATGTGCCTCTTACGCCTACTAGAGAGCACCGCGTACTGGCGGGGACTGTACTCCAAGCAGGGCACCTTACCGACCATGCTGCAGATAGACGACCAAAATATGCACATGTACCATCGCCTCTTCACATCACTGAAGAAAGAGTTGATCAAAGAGACCCACGTCCCGCCGACCCTGCAGAACTGTGCGTGTACGCCGTGCGGAGGCAGGTCCGCAGGTCCACCAGCCCCCTGCTCGCCGTTCATGGTGAACACCGTGGCGAGTCTGCCTCTCCCCCCTGGGCCCTGAAACGGGAGGTGTGTCTGGACTCGCGGGCCGAGGACCTGACGCTCAGGTGGATGATGTCCTGCACATCGGTCACGTTTGGCGAAGTGCTGCACGTGTAGCGTGGAAATCATCACTTTGCCATCGGCAATAGGGACGTCGTGGAGAAGTATTGCACCAACTGTAGGAACAATGCTAACCTTGTGGACAGAGAAAGGGAAATGATCTACTTAATAAACAGGTCAAGGGCCAAGTATGTCTTTCAGTCAATGTGCCATGTTGAAAGTACGTTGAAAAAAGTAGAGTTAACAGGTGCAACACCAGTTGACATTCTACCAACAACCCAAGTCTAAACCTTATTAGCAGTTATCCATACAATACATTGATATTGGAACTAACGTTACATGCATGCGACACGTATGGACTAAATTGAGATAAACACTTCGTATGAACGTTCAATCTGTACAACCTATATTTACAATAGAACAGCTGTGTCACCGCAATTCTGCTTTGCATGTGCAGTGTTCTGCACATATCTGATGATGTAACACCAACACCATGAAGCAACTGCAATGGTTCGTCTTTTTATCGAGCAGACGCGTCCAACTCTGATTGGATTGATAGTGGAATTTGCGACATCTCACCCATACGGTCAGTCTATGTTCGTTTGATTTTCGTCTTGACCTTGACCTTGACACAGCCGTGGCTGTACATGGCTCGGGGTAACATGGCGATGATCTCCCAGCTGTTCGTTGCGGGGTCGTAACGGTCCACCGAGGCATAAGCACTGCCGGCGTACGCTCCTCCCGTCACGTACAGCTTGTCCATTACGACGGTGACGCCGACGTGCTTACGTCCGTGCGTCATCCGGGCGGCAGGGCTCCACTCATTTGTGTCTGGATCATACCTTTGGGACAGAAGAACATGCTCATATCAAAACATCAATATTATCCTCGTGCTAACTAAGGGTGAATTGCATCTCAGGGACAATGCTGATGGAGAGTGATTGGAAGTGTATGAACCAATCGCGTTATCTACTCTAATGTATCTAGACTCGCATAAAATTCACTTCAGATCGATCTTTAGGTGCATCGTTTGTATGGCGTGCGCTGGTGATATCAGAATACTCTCCTAGCTCGTTAATTATAGGTAAAGAACAAAACGACCTAGAGATATTGATATAGTTTAAAGCGTCAAGGCTAATAACACGATATTACTGGATATCTTTGCACATCTCATGCAAAAGTAAAGAGAGAACGACAGACTACCTGTCGCATATTGTAGTTGCTCCGCCCACCACGTAGATGGAGTCCCCTATGACGGCCGTGGCGATTCTGAAGCGGGGGCGGGGACAGATAGACACGGTGGTCCAGCTCTCCGTCACGGGGTCGAAACACTGGACATTAGCATACACAATGTTGCCGTCGTACCCACAGATGACGTAGAGTTTGTACCTGAAGGCCGCCACGCCACACCTCCGCACCGACTGAACCATGGGCGTCAGAACCTCCCACTTCTCGGTTTTCGGATCGTACCTCTCCACGTCATTGAGAGTGAGACCGCCCTGCCAGCCACCAACCACGTACAGATAGCCGCCCAGCTCAGCGGCACCGTGCGCACAGCGCGCCGTGGGCATAGTCGGGGCCTGCCGCCACGCGTCCCTCTCCACGGAGTAGACCCACACGGTTGTCAGTTCTTCTGTCCGGCTCGATTCGACCCTCCCGTGACGTAAACGTCCGTCCCCACGGGCGTCGTGACGTAGCTATGGCGTTCGTACCCTGGCCATCGAGCGCAAGCTGTCCATGTGTTTTCACAGGGATCAAAGAGGTAAACGTCAGGGTGTGGCTCTCCTGTATTCCCACCGACTACTAACAT